CTCAGGAGAGTATCACGTTCCTAGTCCTGGTCAGCATGATAGCTAGCCGGACATATTGAACCGCGCCTTCCCTGTGGGATGAGGCCTTCGTTTTTGGCATTGTCAGCACTGTTTTGAGGGTGAAATTCGAGAATAGTGTTGAATAGCAAAGGCATAAGCTCATCTACCTGGTAAACCCATGGTTAAATGGGAACCACTTAGCTCTCTTTCGACTTTGACAGAAGACTGGTGTCTGCGTACGTCGCTATTGAAGTAAAGTGCTCCGCTACCTCAGCACTTCAAGATTTGCCACATTGTCATACGACGAAAATAAATGCAGCCTTAAAGTCGAGGAAACTGGCAAGCCAAATCACCTGAAGTCGTCGGCATTTGTTCAGTGATCCTACGCAGAAGGAAATTTTGATCCATTGAGGAGTATGCAGTCCAGAAGCCTGCTTGATTTTCGTAAAGTCTCTCACTGTCTAAGCCTTTCCAGGATTGTTCACGAGAAAAATTTTCCGGTAATTTTCAGAATAGGTTGATGCCACTTTATTTGGAACACTTGAACACCAAACCGTCTTTAAATATCGTAACATTATCTCCACATTTCAGTCTTCCTGGAAACGTTGGTAAGCCCACATTTGATGAAACTGGACACATAGTTTTCTTACCGTTTCCCTGCCTCCATATTTAATTAACTTCTTAGGAGTTCCATCCTCCCTGCATGCCTTCTTCACACTCATATGTAGCGAGGCTTTTTGAATTTCTGGTTTCATGGGTCGATATGTTCTAACTTCTGTTGATGGCAGAGAATTAACAGCCTGAAATGACGAAACTGTGGGGCACCTGTTGAGCAGCTGTTGGAAATTCTTAACCCCTCTTTTGAGGCGTTCCTTCTGACCTGGCAGTGGGGCATACTCAGTGTCTTAGATAAATAGGGACCGAGTTCGCTGCTTGTCCGATAACTGTCTCACCACGTTGGACACTGTTAATCATTCATCCTTTCTGTTTGCCTTTCGATCTTCCTGATTTCTCCTCCAGCCAAAGTTTTTTGTAAATCCAATTGAATGTACGAACGAGATGGCAATGAGTTGCCGTCGAGGAGGCCGAACAGTGTTGCAAGTACTCTTTTCTTTCTTGATTTCTTTGCTATCAAAGGGCTGTAACTTTGCGACTCCAGCAAGTTTTTTCACCGAGGAAACAACAACTCCTTTGAAGTCCTTATAGACTTTATCGATGTTGTCAGAATTGACACTAAGATTCGCAATAAAATATCTCTCTACCTTCCTTCAGTTGGCTGATATATCGCTTCATCATATTTTAGCCTCTTATCACGGAGCTGCTGACGTATCGGACGTGGTTGATATCTGACGGCTAGTTTAAGTCGAAAATTTCGCTATGATCGTATGGTAGTCAGATCTAATGCAAGCACAACATCTGACGCCTGTACTGTATGTGTAAAAGTCAGATTATTAGAAAAATGCAGCAAATAAGTTTCCACCCTTTACTGTGTGGTATTACGTTACGTTGGCTACGATCAGTCATGCGTGCGTTTATTATACTTGACTTAAACATTTATGTTGTCGTTTATTGTCTTTAAAAATATGCTGAAAAAAGATTTCTAGCATTCTGATGATACGGCATCCGGAGGAGATGATCCCTTTACTCGTCGCAAGAGCAGGTCTAAGCTGTATACTAAGGCACGAAAACCAGATTTTCGCCCTTCTGATGTGATCGCTGCTCCTGTTAAAAAGACGGATGTGATTCCCACCGATGACGATAGCAACTCCAACTTGCCTTCTACTTCGACAATTCCGGTTGCGGTCGATGTTTGGAACACAGAGGCAACTCTAAGCGAAGCTGAAGCCGCCTCCGTATCGCCGGACCGCGCAAAAGTCAGGGATTCAGAAATACTGCTAGCAGGTGCAGTAAACAATGAACCAATACTAGAGAACGGGGGTTCCCTGGCGGAACCTTCGATTTCCACTGAGCCGAAATCTGCACCTAAGGTTGTAGAGGAGAAGAAGGAAAAATTAAAGAAAATAGTTCCTTCCAGCAGTTCAGCCGACGATCTTTTCTTTGCTCACGACTTTGACGTCAATATTGAACTCGATTTTCCTCTCACGCGTACGTATTGTTCTAGTGTTTAAGTTGACTTGTGTCACTATGATGTTTTCAGCCGTGCCTACCCCGCCACCGAAGCCTTGCTGTTCGAAATCGATCGGAAACTCAAACCGGCGGGCCATTAATATTGAAGATTACAAGAAACGCAAGGGTCTCATTTAAGGACTTTTAGACTTGCCTTTTTCGCTTCTGTTGTGTCTATATGTGAATAATTGTGAAATTGAATTTTAAAACAAAGGCATAATTGGACTTTACAGGTCTCAATTTGAACTGTGCAGTTTGGTTTCCCTTGGCATTTTGAATGAAAGATTGGCGCTAAATCGCTGTTCCTGTGTATTCGCAACGTAAGCATAGTGAAATCTTTTCATCAAGCGGTCCATCCTTAGAACGGATGATGACTTCTACTTGTCATCATTTGCTTGTCCTGTTGAAATGGAGTGAAAATAGTGTCCCTTGCTCCGTTTGGTTGATCATTTAGATGATGCCGTTAGCAAAATATCGAGTGCTGAAAGTAGTATATTTCCTTATATTCCTCGGTTATTTCTGGTTTAAAAAATTTCTAAAATATCAGTTTAGAGCGAAGGGAAAACAGAATTCGTGTCTCAAACATAGAAATTATTTTTGCAGTGATCTTAAATAACAACCAGTAAGCGGACGTAATCCGCACTATCGTCTGGAAATTTCATGGGCATCTGAGCATTTCTCTGCGGTTAGCAGTCATTGAAAATGACATTAACAGAATTCTGTTGATTAGTTTTTACAGCTACAAACGTCTCAGATGAACACAGTAATAGTGAGAAACGATTACCTCTACCCCGATAAACACTTATTCATTCAGTCCGTGTACTCGTAATTCCTTTCGATTTGCAATATTAGTTTGTTCAATAAGTTTTTCAATTCGGGTCTCGGCGTTCTGTTAATCATTCAAGCATAACAGACTGTAATTTAAGAAGCGGCAGTATCATGTTTTGTTTACAGCAGAGCCATCAGGTCCATAAATTACTGGCAGTTCTTAGGCAACAGATCTTCAATTTTACCGTTTTGATACGAAGCTAATAAGCTTTTTTTGAATGGTATCAAAGAGTCTGCAGCTTAGTTGAGCAGAAGTCATTTTATTTATAAAGTCAAGTTAAATGAGTTATTTCATGAACATAATCACTATTTATTTAACGGTCCCTGGACTATTGCCAAACTCCCTACCCGAATTACGTTCCATACCGCTCGGGACAGCAACAAGCACATTGCCTAGTCTTGATGAAAATTCAACATTCGCAAATTATTTGATTGATCTTTAACTGCTGATGGCACTCATTGGATAATTTGCTCGTGAATTTTACGCAAATTAAGTTTATTTTTGCAGCATAAATAAGATTCATCTGACTAGTGCATCGTACGTTGCTTATTCGCTGTCTTTTTTATTGGCTATTATTTTGAAAGTGAAATAAATTGTTTTTCATGATCATTCGACTCAAACCTATTCCATTCGGTTCGATGCTACATTAACGAAACGGTACACCGTTCACATTTGTTATGGAAGAAACAAAGCCGAAGTATTTTTTCTTCCCCAAGTCATAGTCATCGGTTAAACCCGTTCTCAGTTCTGCATGTGCAAGAGGTTTGGACTGGATTTGAGAGCGTTTGTCAGCCAATGTGATTTTTTTTACTTTCATTTGTCACATTGCGCCTGATATATCATGTCAACCACAATCTATTGTTAGAAAGGGTTGTCTACTAGCTACAACCTCTAAATGCTAATTTTCGACAGATGCTAACAAAATAGCCTTCTGCTTTCTTTCATTGTTTCGAAACTACCGAATTTAATCATGCTTGATATTTTGATGAAGCAATGTTTTTCATAAAATTTCCCAGCTAGGTTCAAGAAGACTTGGTATTCAAGGATGTTGCCTGCACTCGTAATGATTTCTGTACCGGTTGGATCAGTGTTGTTTTAAGATCCACTCCTTGAACATTCTATGATTGCACTTC